AGAGGAGAAGACACGGGGGGGAGGGGGGGGGGAGGGGGGACTCGGAGGAGCCAAAAGTATAACTAGGGATCAGATGTTTCATGTTTTCAGCCTTTAGTTGCAGATCCAACAACGTAGATGTCTTATTCTACCTCTCAACTGGTTCATGTTCATCTTCTACCCTGAGCAGATCCCGAGCTGGTAGCCACCACCGGCCTCCGCTGCCCCGCCCCCCTCTCATCCATTGCCCACTGCCGCTCCCAGCCATCCCTCTAATCCTGATGATGGCCATTTTTTCCAGCGAACTTGCACTACCCCCATACCCTTAAGATAGATAATGGGATAGTCTGCCACCACAAAATAGATAATGGGGTAGCTTGCCGCTCTAGAATAGATATCGGAGTCTTCTTCGACGAGCGCCTTCCTTCCCTCCGGCTTCCTTCCTTCACGTGAAAATCAACTAACCCAAATTTCTAATTCTAATGACTTACATATAGCTATTGTGCTACCTTAGCATTGCCAGTTGATCACAACTACTACTCTCGCCGGTTCATCTATCTACCTACTATCTAGAGTTAAATACAACATGGGTGCATTAACTTGTTCGTCATGATCAGTTTGGTACTCAAACTTGCAAAATACACAAAAGTGGTGTTTTAACTTGTCTTTGAGCATCTAAGACCGGACCACCCGAAACGCCCCATCGGACTGCCCAGCACTGTCCAGACAGCAGAGAGAAGAAAAACAGCCACCCAACCGAACTCTCCATTTTGTCCCTATACGACCAGGCTGTCCGCAAATCCCCATATCCATACCAAATATGGGGAGGATATGTGGATGCCCGAGCGTGTCCGGGCAGCCCTAACGTAAGATGCAGCCCTTCCTCGACCACTTATCTCTTTCTTTAATTATTCTTTCTTTTCTCTTTCTCTTTCCATCTTCACCAATCACATGCATTTGACCAGACAATTTAAGGAGGATGTAGGAGACATGGTTTCATGCATGCATAAATAAAGGGTTAAAACGGACGCGCCCGGTCACTGACCGGGTACGTATGCAGACGTTTGATGACCGATATTAGTGTGACCAAGCACGTCTGCAGATGTTTGGGATCAATATATCATGATTGTAAATGCTCTTACCGTGCAAACATGGTGCCTCCATACGTATCCGGGAGTATGTCCTGCCTGCGTGGCATGTCAGCATGGCGTTGGCACACATGCTAGTGGCTGGCAGTGGGCGAGGCATCGGATGTC